TAAATTTAATGTGTAATGGAGAGAGAAGACTTCGTGTGTTTGTCAACGCGCGTTGATGTCTAAAGGCCACTTTAGTAATTACTTACAAAAAACTCCAGGCGAACTAACAATTTTGAAGAAGAAGATTACTTAAACGATTTCAATATCAATATCTTTACTATGATAGCGAGCGTAGTTCTAAACTCACTTGGCTAATCAAAAGAAATAACAGAGATACTATATGAAACAGTTATTATCTATGTGAGACTTCCAAACGGTTTCACCTTTTATTACCAAAGGTAACAAGACCATTGAACTCACACTTGCTATGGCATCTTAACATATTCTCACTTTCAAACTACTGTTTAATAATAAAATAATTCAATTAGAGAGAATTTATTACATTAAATTTTTAAATTTTTTTTATTGTTTTATGACCAGAGGAAGGTTAGAAAATATATACCACAAAGATATTATGACTGTTTTTGCTCTTCTCAGATTATTATTTTATATACTATTTCTTAAATAAGATTAAATATGAGCCGCAGTCTCTAAACAATAGTTTCCATTTCTGCCATCAAGATATAGCCTTCTGATTTTATTTTACTTAACTATTATTGAAACTAATCATTGTACTTAAATTTTTTAATTCTCTCTTACAAAAGTTATTACGAAGTAAATATACAATTTGAAACAATATATTATTTAAATAAAAGTATCTATAACATGTATAATATCTCAGTTACCATATAAAAAATGTGATTTGTAATGAAAAATGTGACAGAAAATTTCTGTGAAATTTTTCAAAAACTGTAATAGAAGTTTCTTGACATTACAAAGATTGGACTCAAATATTATTTTTGGAGCGCGTCAATTGAGTAAGTTATAAATCTTAAACTAACTTATTATATGTACACTTGATTGACAAAAAAAAAATATGTACTATAAATCACTCTTTAAAAATTTTTTTTATTTTTTTGTATACTGATTCTCATATCTATTATTAAAAGTAAGAGTCTGTCGAGCTTTTATAGTACTATAGATATAATGACGAGTGTCCTTACAAGCCACCTCTATTTTCACTTTGAACCTAAAACCATCAAAAAGGTGACTTATATACCTCTCAAAAATAAAGTGTTCATACCTATATTCTTTCAAACTAAGAAAAAGTTTATATATATGTACCTATATAGTCCACTAAATTATATAGTTATAATTCAATAAAAAATTTTATTATTTTTATCTATAATAATGAAAATGAATGATAACCCATACAAGACATTTGTATTTATATAAAACAATAAACAATCTGCAATTTTTTTTATATATACCCTATTTCATAAAAGAAAAATTAAGATCACTTCATCATTGAATACATTGAAACCTTATTTTAACAATAATTTGAAATTATATATCATTTTATTTTTTTTTTATTGAGTAGACAACAAAATTCGACTCAATTTTGACTATACGGATTACGGATTATTTTTTGTTGGAAATTTTTTTTTTGAAGTACATTCATCATGGGCAATGCATTTTTTAACTTCCTAAAGGAGTTTCGAAACTACAATAAGCATCTTAAACCAGTGGAGAGTGCGAAACAAGCAGGCCATATATGGCGCACAATGTCAGATGAGGAGAAAGAGCAGTACGTAGGTGTAGACTATAAGGCTGTTCGTAACTCAAGTACCTCGGAATGTGGTACATGTGGGAAAAAGAAGAAAAAACCCTGTGGGCAGAAGAAAAAACGCAAAAGCTGCCCAAAGAAAAAGAAGCCTAAGTGTAAACCGAAGCGTAACCCCTGTAAAAAGAAGAAGAAGCGCCGCCAAATTTGTTGCTAACTTATTTTAATGTTGACTGGATAAAAGTGAGTAGGATTCAAATTTTTAAAATTGATTTTTATTGGTATTAACAATATTTAACTAATGTATTAACCAGAATTGGGTGGCGTCACTAGTTTCATATTTCCGATCCATACTTCTAAGCCACCAAACAGTCTTCTTCATCTGACTGCAAAATCATAATTAAATGTAAAAACAATTGTGAGTATATTAGAGCTATTACTTAGAAATCAGTGTATTATATAAATACACAAATTTTAAAACTGAATATTATATTGTATTGTCTATAATGCACAAAACACAAAAGTTAGCTGATTTGGAGTATCTAAACACACAATGCTCAATTGTAGACAAAATTATATTACATATTCACTTAAAAGTTATAATTAATTTTTTAAACATTAATACATAAAACATCTTGAAGATTTTATATAACTGATAGTTAAATATTATTCTGCTAAAGTTTGAAAAAAAATCCAGATGCCTTCTTATAATGCAACTGGATAATTACCACCTACACTGATTCATTGGTTCTAATATGTGAGCGAAAAAGGTAAGTGAATGAGTTAAGTAAGTTATATCCAAAATTAGTAAATTGAAATCACAAAAATTCAATTTTAAGGATGGTTCCAATCTCAAAAATAAAGCATCCGAAAAATTTGTTTCAAAATTCAGCAAAATTCACAAAATGTATTAAATTCCCCGAAATATAAAGGTTATTTAATAATACTATATACATATAATATGCATTATATACTTATATTAAATTTATTCCAGAAATTATTTATACTCAAATTCAAACTAATTAAATTATATTTTTTAATCTATAACTTATATTTTCGGCATAAGTAAAAACAGCAGATTCCGCATATTCAGAAATATGTAAGTATAAAATTAAAATGGAAAAATTAAAATTTATTTTAGGTTACCTCTACTTTTAAAAAATATTAGATATGCATTATATCTCATATATTCCAGAAATATGTACTCAAGTATATCTTAACCTTACTCCATCTCTTTAACCTAACCTATGGATATTAATGAAATTCGTAAAATGTGTCAACTTCCCCGAAATATAAAGGTTACAAAATGAACACAATATATATATGATATGCATGATTCATATTATTCCAGAAAATTGTACTCAAATTCAAATATAATTAAATTATAACTTTTATTTTCGACATAAATAAAAACAACAGTTTCCACAAATTCTGAGATATGTAAGCATTAAATTAAAATAAATATTTATTTAAACCAGAGAATATTTTGTCTCTACTTTTAAAATATATTAAATATACATTATATCTCATATATTGCAGAAACATGTACTTAAGTAAATCTTGACCTTACTCCTAACCTATGGATATTGACAAATGTTTAAATCAAGAAAAAGCTTCATCAAATAAATTCAGAAAAATGCAAGTACAAAATTTAAATTGAAGTTTAATTAAATAAAGGTACATTTTTAATTATAAGTCACCTTTATAAATTAGAGTTATATATTCAAGAGGTCTATATTAATTAAGTACCATTCCAAATTATATCGATAGTCACATATTTGGAATAAATACAAATAATTTTATTTAAAACGGTACAATTAAGAGAACAGTAAGTAAAAAATTAAAATTGCAATTTAATTAAATAAAGACACTTTACTTCACTCATATTGTAGAAACCTATATCCAACTGTATACCAATAAGAATTTATTTCTCAAAGCTGTAATGTATGGAAATATATAGAAAACTTATAAAAATTCGTGGAAGTTTAAGTAGTATTGGAATAATTGGGTTCAAATAAAATAAATGTATATTTCAAGACACCAATCTTTTCCGTAGGTTAAAGAATAACCTACAACCAATTATTTATTTTTCTAATCCCTGGAGAGGTCTAGTAGAGCGGTTATGAAACGAAACGAAAGAATATCTATTAATGTCCATATGTATATTTTTTCAAAATAAATTACAGTAACATACTACATATAAAAATTGATTATCTTTTAGTTTTAATATAATTCTTAAAAATATTGACGACTTTATTTTCTTAAACAAATAATTAATTAATAACAGCAACTGTATAACATAATCATCTTTCTCAACTTGTACTTAATAACTTAACACTGTTAAATATTATGAATGCTAACAGTATTATGTTAAGTTGTTTACATGAGAAATTTTTATGCTATTAACATTTCGTCTCCATTTTATGTCATTTAATCTACTTTGCAGACTAGTTTCATTATTTCACCTATTTGTTAAACACTGATTATTGCTGTCTATTTTTGTTTTTCTTTTATTTTTTAAATTATTTTTTTTTATCAGTTTTTGTTTATAGTTTTTAAATATTCAAAGAATCAAAGCATACCAACTTTCTAGAACTTCGCTGAAAGTTATTTAGGGTTTATCAATATTAAATTATTATTCCATTTATTGTTATCATGTTTTATTAAATTTTTCTTATAAGAAACTGAAAACAGTTATTAAAAGCTTATAGACTAAAAAATTATAAATTACAAGTGCTTTTAACCATTGTTGCAAACACATTTGTCTTTAAATTAAAATAGATTATTTACTGGTTACTGTAGTTAAGATTAATTATTGGTTATTTGTGTCACGAAGCAGAACAAATCGAGTATGTTTTTTTGATTTTAATGCTAAAGCATGACATATGATGTAATATGATATATTTTTGAAAGTAAGTTTAAATATTTTCTTTCACCAACAGAGTATGTTTAGGTCTATATGGACATTTATATTTTTTATATACCACAATCCATTGAACAGTATGCTCTGTACATTGAATGTGGTCTCTGACGCTTCTCTCTATTGTATATGCAAGCAATCATTCAATCCAACCGACATGGTTGTTTATACTCTATATTCATATAAAATTGAAGTCACATCAATAAAGTCTGTACAAAGCCTACAATCTCCGTGTTAAGACACAAAACTATCTGATAGAAAAATTTTGATTCTTGTGCCAAGATGTTTACATTTTCTAAATATAGTGATATTAGTTGATATAAGGCTTTTTTAAACGTTTTTGATACAATTTAAAGTAAACTAAAAATTTGATCTGAGTCGCATCCTTGCCCGGCTTCGCTATCATAAAGAGTTGTTATAGTTCTTATTATTCAAGGATTTAACCAATTCTTGAATTAAATGTATATGCGTTAAATAAATATTAAATACCAAACAAAATTAATTTCAAAAAAATTAAAAATAAAAAGCTAATAGATCTTTTTTCAATTCATAGTTTTTGTTATAAAACTATTTTTAATATCAATTCTATTTCTTTAAAATTTCTATCAAATGCAAAAATAATTAATTTTAAAAAAATTAAATAGAATAAAGTTAATAAGCTGTTTTTATGCTCGCAATTTTGATTTTAAAACAAAATATCAATTTCATTTCTATTTAAATTTTATTCAATGCAGAAGTAATTAATTGCAAAAAATTTAAATATTTAAAAATTAATACACTGTTTCTAAGCTTTCAACCAACTCTGAATATCAATTATATTTCTATTTAATTTAAATATAATTAAATTTTATTTTAAATTTAAGTTGCTCAATTCTATTTCTATTTAATTTCCGTTTAATGCAGCAATAAGTAACTTCAAAAAATTTAAGTATGAAAAAGTTAATAGTGTGTTTTTAAGTTTGCAATTTTGATTTTAAAACAATTTTAAATATCAATTTTATTACTATACAATTCAGAATCTGTTCAATGCAGAAATTAATTTTAAAAAACATTTTTATATAGAAAACTTATAGAGTCTTTCACATTCGGAGTTTTGATTTTGAAACAATTTGAACTATCAATTCTTTTTCTATTTTATTTCAATTTAAAAAATTTAACACTTAATTTCAAAAACATTAAATATAAACAATTTATAGGTTCTTTCATGCTCGGAGTTTTGATTTTGTAACAACTTTAAATATCATAAATAAATTACTTTAATATTTGTCACTACAAAAAGAAACTAATTTAAAATTAAAATAAAAATTAAACAAATACAAAATGCAAATTAACATAATTAATTCGAACTAATCCTTAAGTCGAACTGTCGCTTTCCCATACAGTTTCGGTTATCGCCTTAATCTTCACTTTTTAATATTTAATTAAACTTTTACCCTAATTGAAAATAATGTGCTGCTATTTCTCTAATATTTACTAATTAAGGGAACTGGATGAAAACAGAAAAAAAAAACTAAAATATAAATTGCAAATGAGCGAAATGTAGAAAGAAAACAAATTCAGCATTTCTAGTATTTGCATTTGTTTTGTGTTAAAATAACGTAGAATAAGTATAAATGGCGAATGATAAAAGCTAAAACAGCCTTTTTATTTCACTTCACGCTACTACTATACACTTTACTCTATTCTCCACTCTATACTGCTCTATTTTACGCTATTCTATCTATGTTCTGCTCTATTCAAAATTGTAATTCTTGCCTTTGTTGCGCTGTAATTGTTCCTGTGTTTTCATTAGCAATTTTTTTTTTATGTTTTTTTTTGTTTTTTATACGTAGGCGTCTCTTCGTATACGAATACAACAGGATATACGCATACAAACTATCACATAGCCGCCGCGCTTATGTCCTTGAGTTGAATGTCGATAAGCCCAGCCCGTACGAGTAATTTGCCAACACTAGTTTTTATCTTTAATTTTTCCACTTTCGCATTTTAGCACAATTTTTTATTTATTTATTTTCTTATTTTGTTTTTGTTTAGAATTTGTTTAAAGTTTATTTTGTTTTTATTTTGTTAATTTAAATTTTTGTTTTGTTCATTACTTTCTTGTTTACGCAAATTCACATATGAGAAATGCAAATTATGCACACACATTGAAACCAAAACAAAACAAAATTTACACATACACACGCACACACACACACAAACAGGATCTTGCGTAGCTCTTCATTAATGCAAATTCATCAGCCATTTTATATTTTCTACAGCACAAATGAATTTCACTTTCACTCACTTTTCATACCACTTGTACCATTTAGAAACGCTTCAGGCTTCAGAATTAAAGGAAAAATTTATTCATTTTATATTAGATTTCGTTATGAAATTTTTTAATAATTTAATCCTTAAAAAAGTTAGAAACAATATTGCTATAATAGCTTTTCATGACCTTGGGCTATTATTTTACGTTTGTTTCGTATTTAAAGTAATTATCGTTTACTTTCCGAAGTATCCATCCATAAATTGATTAACACATTTTTTTATAGTTTTATTGTTAAAAGAATATTATGTATAAAGCATGCATAGAACGACTTCTGGTGCATTATATAGAGCTTTTTTGCCTCACAACAGTTCAAATTATATGGTATATACTGAAATTGCTGTACATACTCCATACACCAGCACTTTAAAAAAATAAATTTCGTTTTGTCAGTAGGTCATTAGAGCTTTTTGCCATTTTTTGGGCAACTTTATTCCCATATTAGTTTATTAATTTCTTCTGGAAGGGTTGGTCTACCTAATGTTTGAAGAAATGACGAGTACTCATCCATGCTGATTTCTGAATCTGCTGTGTAAATATAACAACTTCATCATTTATTTCAGTCGCGAAGTTCAGATCAGAGTTGAGATTAAGATTGTTTTCAAGGTGTGGCCTAAAGAAATTTTCTGTCAGTAGATTTATTAATTAAGTAAGGTTTAGGCTCATTTATAAGTGTACTTTCATTAATAGAAAGGTGCACAGGTGAATGATCAGAGGAGAGATCGTATCCATTTTCTATATGTAAGAGTTCTTTCAGCATCTTGTTAGTTAGAAAAAATTCAATCAGATCCGGTCGAAAAAATATCACATCCTGTGGCTTTTAACAGTTGTAGTTGTAGTTAACCACGAACCGCAATGGAAATGTTAAGCATTCAAATCTCCGCCAATAATGAATTTGTTTTTAAATTTTTTTTATTTTTTAATTTTATTTTTAATTTTTGGAAAGGAAGTCTATATATTGATCTGTAGTAATAGAATGCCTTGGAGGACTATAGACCAAAATAATTAATAATTTTTGATTACGCACGTTAATATTGATACAGTTCTATTTTAAATAAAAATAACAATAAATTATTGTCAAGTAATATTCATTTTGTTCATTGCTTTGATGACAAATAACTAAGCCGTACTTTGCACCATATATGCAATATGCATAGGTCAAAACTGTGTCAATAGAATAAACGTTCGAAGTTATTACACCATTACTCATTAATTATTTTGTAAGATATTATATAGGTACGTCTAATTTGGGTTAACCAATTCGACGCAAGTAATTTAAGTAATAAACAATAGAATCAGTACAATAGAATAAGATTCTATTGAAAATTAGTATAAGGAACTGTGTTAGATTTAAGAAATTTGAATAAATGAAAATCAGTTTAATTCGAACTGATAATAATTCCAATCGAGGTGTTCAGAAATTAATTAATAACTTAGATCTTTACTGATACCATGTTGCATGGCGATCCTGCCATATTATTAATTGAACTTTACAATGTATGTATAATATTGTTCTTGAGAATAATTGTTGATTTCTACAAAATACAATATCTCAAGAACATCTCAAAGAATGCGGAATGATACATATGCAATCTTTTAAAACTATATTTTTTTTATGCTTTAGAAATATAAATAAATAAATATAGAAATATAAATAAATAAATATAATAAATATAGAAAATTTTTTTTTTTTTTGCTGCGCTTCACAAAAAGCTTACCTAAGAAATCTCAGTTTTTCACAAAAAAAAACATTTACTATAAACAATTTTGCATTAATTCTATATAATTTTAATATAATTTTTTAATATGTTAAAATGTGAAAATTTAAAATACATGTTTAGTGCTAAAGACCTTTATATAAAAAATTTAAAAACTTATAAGAACTCTTATCAAATAATATAAAAAATATACACAAAATATTGGTCTCGCCCGTGCGATTCGTAGAGATTAGGTTCTATACATAAAAAGGAATATATAAA